CTTGCTGGAGTACGGTCCAGGGATGAGCAGTTTTAGTGCCTGCCTTTTCAGTTCTGTCAGTCTAGCATTGCAGTTCTCACACCAAATCCCTCTCTCACTGCCTGGGGAACTTCCACTGCCTGAGGCTGGTGAACCTGTCCCAAATCCCGGGGAGCCACCCAGAGACCCAGGTGATCCTGTACCAATCCCAGGAGAGATGGTCCCAGGAGAGCCAGAGAAGGATCCTGGTGAAGAGATTCCTGAGCCCGGGGATGGGGTGCCTGTGGAGCTTGGCATGGAGCCGGCTCCCTCAGGGGCGGGGCGCGTGTTGGAGCGGTTGGTTTCCTCGTAGGCCTTTCTGTACCACGTGTCTGGGAAAAAGGATCCAGATTTGGTCGGAGAAGTGTCAGGAACCTGTGAAAGAATATAACTTTGTTAATTAGCTTGTTCAATTGCAGATATTTTGATATCATGGCTGAAAAACCAAAGGCATTAAAATAATCAATTATGAAAATGTTATTCCCTACAGGTTTGGCTGACATGAATAATTCAATCTGAGCAAGCTCTAATATTATTATTGGGATTATTATTATACTTCATACAATTTTTCTTTTCAGCCTTGGCCAGTAAAACTTGTTCTGTTTTTAAAAAAGGTTGTATTGTGTCAATTTCTGCAACCTCCAACTTATTTAAGGTGGCATGCATTAGGATGAGATTAAAATAATGAGAAGGGCTGAGGGAACATGTCTTCAATCATGCAAATTAAAAGTCAAGACATTTGCATTTTGCCTGTGGAGCAAAAAAAAAAATATTTTTAAATCAATCCATCGAGTGTTGTCAGTTTGGTTCCTAATTTAGTTGCTTGTGGGTCTTCTTAACTTGAGAAATTCACAAGACTCAAAAGCAAATGATTCTGACTGAGAGAATATCCTGACTACATCTTGTATATGAAGGCTAAGTCTTCATGCCAACAATAGGTAAGTATTAAATAGATACCTCTTACTTGCAGGCTCAATATGTTATGGCCAGTAACAGTATTCCAACAATACTTGCTGGCTATTAGCTGTCTTTAAGTAGACAGAGTCTAAACTAACATTGGGGCTTCAACATGAACAATTAAATAACATAACGCAAAAAAGCTATACTAAAACTTCCTGTAATGATGCTGCAGCCATAAGTAAAAACAGGTTACATAGAAGATGCTTCCTTTACAACTTCTGAAGGATCAGGTCAGATTCCATGTGGATGTTATTTTTCTCTATTCACACAGCCACATCAAGACATCAAATCAGCCACAATGAGTTCAAAACAAGATCCTCATGCGGTTGGTTGAATCCAGTCTGAGAGAACAGAGGCACTGATGTGGTGCTGGCGGGAGAGGCTGGGTCCTGTAACTGCTGTAATCCCTCACCAGGGCTATAATAAGGAAACTATATGAGTGGGGCTGATACTGTAGGTGCTCAATCATCTCCAAGTGCAGAGGCGGGTATAATGTGAGCCAACCCTGTGTTATAAATTAACACTAATGAGACTGAAGGAGGCAGGCAGTGACACAGGTGTGAGTGTAATATACTTGATTTAGCTGTTTGGTGTTCAGTAAGTAATAATTAAGAGATGTGGGAGACCTATCGGTGAAAATGCATGCTGCTGTTGGGACACCATGAGCACTGATGTGAGAAATTTGATCTTCACAAAGCAATCAATCTGCAGCATGAGCAATGTTTATACTGTGAGCACACCACAGTTTCCTATTAGAATTTAAGGCTATTGAGAGATGGAGAACATATCTAAGTTCATGTGTAAGTGTCTTATCAGAGGTGAGTCCACTCCTCCTCTGGTTATAACCTACCCCATATTTTCTGCTCCGGCTGCTCACAGACCTCTCCTTGGTCCCCGACAGTGAAGTCATGTTGCAGGTGAGAGGAGGAGGAGGAGGAGGAGGAGGAGGGGGAGTAGGAGAGGAAAAAGACCCTCTGCTGCGGCTTCACATCCAAAAAGACCCCACTTGATCGATTTCAATTAACGGGACTTCCAAATGCATGTGGACACCGGTTACATCCCAATCCCGCGGCAGAGACGAAAAGCAGCAAAGAAAAAATTAATTAATGATGTGCTTGTTTTTCTTTTTCTTCTCCTTTTCCTCTTTCCATCCAGGCTCCTCTGTAAAGCAAACTGAGGATTCACACCAGAGGTCGAAATCAGACCGCTCCCTGTCAGCAGTGTCCGCTCTCTCTCTCTCTCTCTCTCTCTCAACAGGCAGCGCACTCAGTCCTGCCTCTCTCCATCCGCTCTGCGTCTCAGGGTGCACAGGTGAAAACAAAACCACATTCCAAACTCCGCCTCGTTGTGGACTACCGACCCCAGTCACTACTCCATAGAATGACTGACATCTGGCTGACTCCGACCACAGCTAAAATGAGCCGGTTCCTCTTTATTTCTACTTCAAGTTTGTCTATCCGTCGTCTCCTGTTGACTCCCCGAGGCTCCGCACTCTGCTGAGGCCAGCAGAGGACTGGAGAGACCAGAGAGAGAGAGGCGCACATCTGGATGAGGGCGGAGCCACCCGGCGCTGATACGCAGCCCCAGATCCAAGGTGAGTGGCAGGTGGACTGCTGTCTCTTGAAAACTGGACTTCATGCACTGATCTTTGTGACTTTATTTTTACGATGATGTGATGGTGTGTTTAACTCAACCGTATAAAAAGGTACACTTCCAGGGCTTGGGAGAGGACACTATAGGGTCTTAGCCGCTTTTTCTCTGGGAGTTTTGAGCTTAAGTGAAATAAGTATAAAAACTGTACTAAACACATAACAGAGCTTTACTATCCCTCAGTGTTTCATATATTTATTTTGTTGTCTTTTATACATTTGTCCAAACTTGAATTGTGATCAATCCAAATACAATAAAGATCCCTTTGTCTTCTGTTTTGTCAATAAGGTTGTACTATTATGTATTATATTTTTTCGTTGTGATTGTCTTCAAATTTGGAAAAGCAAATAAAATAATAGGAGGAAAACACTCTATCTTGGTCCAGCATTTTCCCATGTCTTCAAAAAATGTTTTCAAAGATAAAGAAAAAGATACTTAAGTGAATGTAATTTAGCTAAAGTTGGTTCAACAGAGCACGGGAGGTCATCCTGACTGATGACTGCTGGGTCATCCTTGATGTGCAAGGTCAAGTTATATGCATGGGAATGTAGTTATCAAATTCAGAGCTTGGCCTTAAGAAAAATAAACATGAATGTGCTCTAACTTGTAATGTCCTCTTGTAAACATGAGACGCCCTTGCATTTGGAAGAAATAATGGAGAACCATTCAATCTTAAAGTAGAGCATGAGTGGTTGCACAGTGCCCTCTGCTGCTACATTGCAGGTATTACTTGACACATCTGATACATGGTAGAGCGAGTACATTTTTGGACTTCTTCACACATTTATGGTTGAAGTGTCATTTCCAGGTTTTCATTCTATCAGAATTGTTTTCCTCTTACATGTTGCAGAATAACAATTTTACGAACAGGAGCACCGCTTACAAAGCAAATGTTGACATGTCACAGGACAGGTAGCCTAGAGAAAATATAGTTAACAATGACGGAATTCCATTAAGCTGCTTCACTTTCAGTGTGATGCAACTGTGCAGGCTGACTCACTACCGTCAGGTACTTGTCCTTGCTAGCAAAGTAACACCTGTTACTGACTTACTATCAAGTCAAGGCCTGCAATGAAAGGCCCTTTTGTGTAAAATTGCTTGAATTGTGAATCTATTTATTTCAGAAAAAAATATTTTTGTATAAACAATTTGAAATCAAGACGGAGTAAGATCAAGCCAAACATACTTAGTGGTGACTCAGTCAGTGCTCTGCCCGTGCAGTCTTAGGTAAGGTATACATCTAGTAATCCCCAAGACGTGGTACTCAAAAGTAATGGGCCTGGCATTACAAAGAGAGGTACTTACGCCTATGCGGTGATCTGGGTATGAGCGAGTGAAACCATTTGGACCACATTAAGGACAAAGACTCCCAATATTAAACTTTCACTCTCGTGAATTGTACTGAAGGAAACCAGGGTGTGGTAATAGCACTGGGTAGCTAAAGAAGCCTGGTGGTGCTTATTAAATGGGAACCTCTGATTTGGGAAACACCTAAAACTGAGACAAACTGTTCTGCCTATGTTTAAATATAGGCTACCATAGTTATAATTCAGTTTCATGAACAATAAAACACTGAAGTTCCTAGAATTGCTATAGCTAATCTATGTGTATCCTGCATGGTTTATGTATTTTCTCCTGTGGCTGCTCACCTGTCTGCTTAATTACTGTCATGATATTTCTATTTTTGTAGCTTTTAGCGATGTTTGAATTTGTTTTGTTTTTTTAGGGAGCCTTTTATATGGCCAGGGACAACAGATGAAAATTTGCCTTTTGGCTAACTCTAAAATAAAATAAAATAAAATAAAATAAAATAAAATAAATAGGCTACTTCTGGAATAGTATTATAATGTTGTCTTGAACAATCCAAATGAAGTCTACATTGTTTGTGTTGTAAATGTAATGTGTCCACACTCGACACTAGGTGGCGGTAATGCACTGTAGCGCCGGTGAAGAAGCACCATGAAACAGAAAGGGAAGAAGAACAGCTCGTAGTTTTGGAATGGATGTTTAGAATCGTGAATACTAAAATTATTCTGCGTTAGGTTGTGTCTGCAAGCTACCTGTGCATAGTAGCGTCACTGCGCTGAGTAAGACCTCACCTGCTAACCTGCATAACGTCTTATATGTATGTAACGTAGTGAAGTCTGGCACTGCTCATTAAGAAAAAGGACAAATGGGGCCGCTGTCATTGCTCTGGTGTGTTGTGGGTGCATTTTGTTTACCATCTTTAGCATGTTTATGAACAATAGAGCTTCATGATCCAACTTGTTTACAAGCAATCTGCTAGCGGTATTATGCTAACACCTTTGAGCTAGCCGAGGATGTTGTGATCTGTTTTGTGTTACGAAAACGACTCACCGGACTTTTATAGGGGCTGTAGTTTCACATTTTGATTTGTTTTTGCTGAATTATTAAATGGTTAGCGTGGTGCCTTCAGGAAACCGTACTGCTGGTGTGAATGTGCTTCGTTATCTCAGACACACAGGACACATTAGCCTGCTGAGATAGTGGACTAGTCACAGTAAACTTTTAACCTTTTTCCCTGGCGACATAGTTTCCTGTAGCTGTATTAATATGGCTGGCTGACTCTTTACCACCTTTCTCTTCCGACAGACACCGGCCTGGCAGCCCTGGTGAAGGCCACAGTTGAAGGAGACCAGCCCTAAACGTCACATCTTCTTCTACAGGCCTACAGCCTACTACAAATAGAGGACTACACCAATGCAACAATGAAAGGTTACCCAATTAGTAAAACTTGTAATTTAACTAAGTGAATATCCTTGGAGGTTACATGTTTTTGAGAGTGTGGTGAATCAGTTGATCTGTAATGTGTAATATGAGATAAATGATCTTTCAGGTGGACCTCAGAAAACAAGAAAAGGGAGACCGAAAAGGACGCCAACAAAGAAAGTCGCCTCAGAACATGTTTCACATCAAGCTACAGACAAGTCAAACTCCGTGCCTGCGAGTGCCTTACCACAGACACCAAAAAGAAGAAGCGGTCAAAGGGGACAATCTCCAGCAGCCTGCTTGACCTCCACACCAGTCCACAGCTCCTCCATTGACATACTGTCTGACATCTCCAAGTCCCCCTCAGGAGCCAAACAAGTGGAGCTAGAATACACTAAACTCTGCTCTCAGTTAGAGGTCTTTTTTTTTTTTCATCAATAGATAGCCTACTGTATTTACCTTTTGAGTCCTTTTAAACTATATTTTAATCTGTTCCCCAGCAGACATCAGAGATAAATTCACCACACTGCAGATCAAAGTCTAAGGGCAGACTTAGGGGGGATAATGTCTCCCAGCCTATGCAAACCAGAAAAAGGGCGACATTGAAGCAGAGTGGCAGTGACTCCAATGGTTTACCAGCCAAGCGCCGGCGTGGGAGGACGCGGAAGTGCAAAGCAGGGAATTTGCAGAAGGGTAGTGCCACTAAATCATCTGATCACTCAAGACCAAGATTTGAGCTGGAGAAGTTTGATGAAGCAGAGAAAGGTAATGTCTGTCTTATGTCACATAACAGAAATACTTTTACAGAACTATTAGCCGTGTCATTTAGGAGAACATCAACCTCACAGCCACATCCACTTAAATATGTTATACGCTGTGTGTATCTGTATTTGCTAGGCTCACTACTAATGTAGAACGGCTCATATTTTAATTATCCTCGTGATTGACATTCTTTAATCTAATTCTGTTTTCTTGCTGCCCCACTGCGCCCTTCCTTACTCACACCCCGGAAGACGACGAGTCTTTGCTGTCTTCAGATCTATCAATAGAGCTGAGTCACCATGAGCCTCAGCTGTTGTCTTTGTCAGTCCAAGAAGATCAAGAAAGTGAGGAGGAGGAGCTACCGAGTTTCTTGATGCAGGGGGACAAAAGTGAGAGCAATTGCAGTGTCTGAATGCAGATGAAATCTTCGACATATGGACAGTATTGTGTATACACACACTGTATACTAAGGGAATTGTATTTTATCTTTCAGAGCCTCCATCTATTACAGAAGGAGTGTTTGTGTGGCACAAATTGAGAAATTATCCTTTCTGGCCTGCGTTGGTGAGTTTATACACCTGTGTGGATGACCAGTTTCACATGAGCCGTTTATGTTAAAGTCTTTTAACAGTCTTTTGTTAACATTTAAGAAAATATATATTTTGGATCATTTGATGCCTTTTTGATAGAACAACAGAGAAAGACAGGATATATGTGGAGGAGAAAGTGGGGGAAGACGTGCAGAAAATGTTGAGGGTCGGACTCAAACCGGTACAGCTGAAAGGACAGTAGCCTCTGCACATGGGGCACGTACATGAACATACATAATACTTTCTTATGGTAGACCACAGAGAGAATAGCTGTGCTCTGGGGTACCGCTGATGGGGATCCTAACAGATAAACATGGGGCACCTGTTCTAACCACTGAGCTAAACCGGTGTCCCAAGAGTAAAACGTTTTTACAAGAATAATTACCCTAATACAGAAAATCAGCAACTTGTCATATTTGAGAAGCTTGACTCAGAGATTTTGGGGCATTTTATTTAATCAAAATCTATTTCATCCTAAAATGTACTTGTAATGATTATTAATATATATCATATCCTAAAACTTGCAGAATGATAACTTGTTTTGGAAGATATAGACAGGTTTGATTGAGTCATTAAAAACCTTTAACCTTTATGCGCAAATTGTCTGAAATTCATACCTTTCTCTTCTCTGCAGGTAAAAAGCGTGAACCGTAAGCAGCAAAAAGCCAGCATTATTTTCATTGACATCCCATTGATTTACAAAAATAAGGGGTATTTTCTCTTTCTGCTTTATTTATGCCTTTTCTTCAATAAAGCGTATATTGTGATATTTAGGACAAAGAGTTTCTGCACACTTTTTGATTTAATAGAGAAGCCCTTGTCATTTGGGTTTTACAAACTGAGTTAACATACTGTAAATTAAAATGCATGCAGTCTTTCCATGGCACTAGATGTGGAAGTAAAAACTGTGTGTACACCCACAAATAAAACAAAACATTCATAAGTGAACTGCTGGTGCACTTCCATGGTGTGTAATGTAGTTGTATGTTTGTGCTTCTACAGGTTTACAGTATCTCTGAAAACCCTGAAGCCTTTTGATTGTAAAGAAGCCGATGAACTGACGGTAAGCCCTGCTCTCAAATGAAACACTCAATTTTCTAAAATGCTGATATGATGGAGAACTAACTATGTCACCCATACTGTTTACATTATTATAGTGTAAAGCCAAAGAAAAGTATGATACTGTGATTGAGTGGTCCCTGGAGCTCATAACGGACTACAGAATACGGATTGGTTGGTATTCTTAATTTGCTGCTTACATACCTGCATTATATAAAAACAATCTAGTCCCAATACCACTGAATTCTTTGGCAATGTTGATCATGTTTTGTCTTTGTAGCATGTGGCTCATTTTCTGGCTCCTTCATTGAGTACTTTGCCCACGATATGAGTAAGTACCGTTGAAAAACATTCCTAAACATGGCACAACACATTGTTAGGCTTCTGCAGAATGAAACCTTGAGTTCACCTGCAGCCCTGTGTGCTGCTGACGCTGCGCTTTACCTTCTATCTTCAACTACCCCAGGCTATCCCGTGAGGAGGAAGTACCCGCAGGCTGCCTCAGAGAGATTAACCATCGCCAGTGATCCAATGTTCGAGGCGCAATGTGATGATGATAAGGAGGACAGCTTTCATGAACAGCAGGAGAAGGTCATCCGGAGTTCCAAGAGGCTGCTGCCAGACCGGAGTCTTGCCGCCCACAACCGTGCTAATGAGAAGCTTGTACATTTCATCGTGAATCAGCGCATGGTGGAAGGACGGCTTCTGGTATGATTCACTTCCACTCAGACTCGATTAATTAATCCCTCTTGGGGCAATTGGTTTGGGGTCTACATGTATCTAAATGGGGTCTATACAACTGCTGTGTGCACACTGACCCTTGGGGGGTGGGGGAGTTACTCCTCCTGTTTTAGAGTCACTGCTGTTGATTGGCAAAAGAGTAACTAATGAAATCCACTGTTTGAATTTGATTAAATTCAACAAAGAGGTTAGAAAAACTCAATGTTAATGATTCTTCAGTTGTCAGTGAATGTAGTCCTAAAAAAAACCCTGCAAGAAGCCAGTCTCTGGATGACCAAGTCCACCCTCTTTGTGTCATTCTACCTGCAGGCTGTTATCCGTGGGCAGCAGCAGTCCAGATGGCTTCGCTCCTTTTTAAATGCCAGTGGTAAACGAGTTGTGAACGTATACCTGGAAGATGACAAGCAGTTAGACCAAGTCTACATGTACCTGAATGAGTTCTACACAACTGCTGTGTCCACTGACCCTTGTCTGGCTGAGGTGAAATCCATGGAGCGTATCCCCTTTGTCCTGGATGTGCTTCTTCCTGAGGTGAGCCCCAACTTTCATCAGGGCTTTTATGTGTTGTTTTAGTCTATTAAAGCATAAAGTTGTTTTTTCTACTATGCAGTTCATGGGTAATGTGGTACAGCTGAGATTATTGTATTGTGCAGGCCATCATCTATGCCATAGCTGGGGTGGACAATGTCTCAGTGAAAAAGGCAGAGGAAAAGTACCTTAGAGGACGCCGTGTAAGCAACAGGTAAGTGATTGATTGGTACCAATAAATAATCAGATTCAACATTAAATACTGAATATAATCAGTAACTTTTATTTTCAATGTCTTTTTTGTTTCAGAGAAAGACAAGAGTTTGACCGAATGATTGATCGGCAGATGCAGAAGAAATCCCAAAATCAGAATAATCCTCCTGCGTTACTCTCTGACGTCACTGGTTAGACGAGTTTAATAAGGAGAATATTAATAAATAAAGGGAACTATTTTTGTATTTAAGTATTTGATGTTTTGTTTTTCATAAACAATCATTGTGAATGAGAATGTATATGGCCTGTCTGGCACAGCCTTGAGCCTTGTCCTCATCGGATACCAAAGAATGTGCTACCATACCACCAACCTGCTGGGAAGCATCCTGTCTCTTCAACTGCTTACTGCAGCACCATCACAAATGATCAGACTCATTGCTCCTTTCATAAATCGCTTCACTTCATGCTCCACAGGCTACCTCTGTTATGGTTTTTGTCTTCTGCATTACGATAACATAATTAAGCACTGAGTCTTAGGGGGAAGTCTGCATATTGCCTATTTAGTTGCAGCCCCTTGTGCAGGCATTATTATGTGTTTTCTTCACTACAAAGGTTTTTTTTTTTCACAGCTGAAGTGTGTTAGGTTCTGCCATTGTATAGTCTACCTTGACCACTAATAGGCAGCTAAATTGTTTCTTTCTTGGTGTTTCATGTACATTTCATGTATACAGTGTCTCTAGTGACTTCACTGATGCTCCTTTACTTGAGCCTTAATTTCTCCCTTTTTTTTTCTTTTAATTTTGTACCATATTACCTTAATATTTGATTGATCATGACAACTGTTTAAAAAAGCAATTACACTTGTGAACAACCAGGCATAACCATTAATGGTTAAAGAAATCATATTAAAATTCAAAAGTCTTGTCATACTTCCATGCATGCTTTTTTTTGTGCTTTTGGATTTCTTTAATTGAGATCTCTAAAAGGCTGGCAGAGATGCTGAATGAAACAAAATGTATTTTTTGTGATGTTGGCACTACTGGAAGTAATGGATTTTACTGTTGAGTTGTTAAAAACACCACATTTATATATAAGATAATATTAATTCCTCTTTGCCACAACACGGAAAATCCAAACTATGTAACTCACGTGTAGCTTAAAAAAAATGGTCTCCACCTCAATAAGCAACCGGGGACTTCCTTGCTCTACTTACTTTTGTTCTTTTGAGGAACTGGATTGTAAACCATCAATGGTGTTGGCCCTTAAACCCAGTAAAACATAATTGTTGTGGGAGGATACAGTCTATGGAGGAAACCGAGGGAACCAAAAATATAGAATAGAATAGAATTACTTTATTGATCCCAAACTGGGAAATTGTGGCGTTACAGCAGCAGGTTATCCAACACACAATATGAGTAAAAAACACAATGTTAGCAAATCTAAACATAATATAACATTAAATACAAAGTAAATAAGTACTAAAAATATCAAAACTAAGAATGTGAATATATACAACCAGGATTTAACTAAGCCTTACTAGTCTTAAATAGGAAGATTAAATATGGAAGATTGAATGTAAATGTGCAAAAACAGAGTTGTAAATGGTTGTAAATTAAATATTGAAGATTAAATGTAAATGTGCAAAAACAGAGTTGTAAATGGTTGTAAATTAAATATGGAAGATTAAATATTAAATATTTCAAATTGAAGATACATTGAGAAAAAACATAATGAAATAGGGCATACAGTTAAATCATTTACACATATAGCCTGTCGATGCATCTGGCGGTATTAATGTTTAACCTAGGACACACCCCAGACCGTGAGGGGGCAGCTCCAGGCCGTCGCTCTGTCTGCTCTGCCAAAAATAACGCCCGCGAAGAAGAACTGGAAGGAGCACTGTCCACCCGTGGAAATGGCGCTCAGTGGTGTCGGAGCCTGAAGTCAGAGCTGCTCTATCAGTCTCCGCTACGAGGACTATTCGCATGGGTTGATAAACTATCGGATTATGAGCGAGAAGAGGAGACGTGGAGAGATTCGTTAAATAAAGCCGTGATCACCGTGCAGGTCAGTGTAACGTTGGTATCAGTTAGCGGCACATTGCATCACGTTTTCTAACAGAGCTAACGGAGCTAACACTACTGAACTGTGTGCTCAAGTCATCATTAAAGCCTCTTTAACAGCACAGAGCAATGTTCTGTTAAAGAAGAACTGTGTGGTGTTTTAGCCTGTAGCTTCAAGCTAGTCTGTTTCAAGTTGTCTGTGTCCGAAACTTCTGAATTATCTCTTCAAATCAAGTAAAAACATGTAATGACAAAACTCCTCCTGTGTGTCTGGTAATGTTTAAATACAAGTCGATTCTGGTTGTCAAATCTAAAGTGTATCAGGGAAACATTTAACGTACACACTTTGTTAATATTAACGCTACAGCGACGTTACCGAAAGCACCTACCAGCTAGCAGCTAGTTAGCCACCAGGCGGTGCTTTCACCAGTGATCACCCGGGGATCTCACACACATTACGGCTCAATGCTGACCAGTGTTGCAGTGGGTTTGTTGTTAAAAATCCAATAATTGAACAGACTAACTACCTGCTGTCATCACATAATACCAGTGCTCATGTTTGTGTGCAGCTAGGAGAGCTAGCTTAACTGTGAACTCAGATAAACTGTAATCCTGCATGACCTTGCAAGCTAACTGTGTAGCCTGCTAATGCAGTGAGGAACTCCTCTACTAATCCTTATTCAGGTCTAAAGAACAATAAGACCTTCATAATGATACAGTGATCAACGTCAGTGTGCGTAATATTGTGCAAAGAAAACAATCTGGGTTTGTTTACATTATGCCAAATTAGCGCCATGCTAACACCTGCAGCTGGACTGTGTTGCTCAGGAGCTAATGGACGAGCTAACTGTGTGGCCCGTTCACTAATGCAGAATACATGTTGTCATTACACCTGAGAGTACTTCTGAGGGAGTTATTGGTCGTGAAACAGGGAAGTCAGGCTCCAGTTTTCACAGGTTGTCACTTCAACTTTTCAAATACTGACACACGTGAGTGACATGTGTGAGGTGAGGAGAGATGTGAAGTCTTTTCCTCTGTGACTAACCTGTACCAGTGTGGGGACGCCTTTAGGTGCCCACATGTTTAGATAGTTTTTATTATAATGAATCTGTATGTGCAGTCTGACGTTATGGCATGTGGCTGCGTAGTGACAGGACTGTTGCGCGGGAGTTCACTTGAATCCACTGTGTTTTCTCCCCGTGGGCACAGAGGGCAGTGTTGTGTCCTTTTGCCAATCTGAATATGTAGAGCTCGTTTCTACTTCAGTTTGAGTTGGCCTTGAAGGTTCCCCTGTGTGAAACGTACTGCTGTAGATACTGTTATCTTTTAGGAACACAAGCCTGAGGGACAGCGTAAACAAACACATTCTGTCCATAATAGTTAATAACATTACAAGAATAGAATAGAATGTCTTTATTGTCATTATTGTACAACTAAATTATTTGGCTTCACCTTAAAGTGCACACACATACAAGCATCCACAGCTAAGAACAACAAAAGAAGAGAGAGAGGAAAAAAAGGAACTCTCATTCAGGTAAGATGGGCAATGTGTGGTAGGAGTTATTTACAGGTCGTAGCATAACAGAATATAAATAGATGTATGAAATATAAAATATTGCAGAAATATGAAATAAATATTGCACAATATGAAATGTAAAATATTGCAGAAATATAAAATAAATATTGCACAGTATGTGTGGTGAGGGTGGGACGGTCATTGCATGTCCAGGTTCAGTGTGGTACAAGAGATGAACACAAATATAAAAACACACACAGCAGGGTAAAGCATGAAAATGATACTACCAGAAAAAATACATCTTCTATGAGCCAACTATAGCCAAACTCCAATTTTTAACATTGTGAGTTTTAGTTATAAGGGTCTTTTTTTTTAAACAACTTGCAAATGTTAAGGATTGGCATTTAAGGTGTATAATGAATTGTTAAGGAGGACCTACAATGGGGCTGTCAGTGGCTGTGTTTGCCTGCAGCCACTTTAATTAAATGTAATTGTTTTTGAATTAAGTGTTTTGTTTTGTTTGAATTAATGTTTTGTGAAAGAGGAGCAGATATTATAAGATTAGTCTTCTTTCTGCTCCTTTTCATTCAGAATTTGAGATTTTATGTTTGTTTGTTTTTCTTAACTTTATTGTTTGAATTAAATAAAATTTACAACAACAAAAAAAGAGCCATATGTAATTACATTTATTTGAATTAAAAAACTTATATACTAGAACTCAGAAAAGTTACAACAGTAAAAGTAATGACGCCTACTTCCGAATTATAGTTAAGCTTTAGTGTTCATGTTTTTTCTAGGTCTGTAAGCATCAGGTTTGTTTTCAGTGAGCAATGAGAAAGATTAGAATAGAACCATTTTGGAGGGCTTCATTGATGATATAAAAAGTGCTTTCTTCCAGCTGTTTATATCATAACATAATCTCACAATCCACATCTGCAAACAAACAGATGTGTTGCAGCATGTCATGGGTTCTTGATTTGAAGGCAGTGCAGTCGTAGCCCCAGTTGTCAGCAAGTTTGCTGACAGCACATTTCCTGACAACTGGGGACACAACTGGGGTTTGAAAGATAGACCTCTTTTGTTCTCTAACACCCAGCAGACCAATTTCAGAGAAGGAGGAATGTATTAAGAATATGGCAGAGGTTGTTATTATTCTTAAAGATGTTTACTTTGTAAGCAGGTATGAAGGGCACAGTGATATGTACAACATAAAATGGTTACTTAATGCTCTTTCTAACTTTCTGTTTGTCCCATGTTGTCTTTGTTTATGAATGCAGTGAAAAATGCACAACCTGACTGCCCGGGTCACCAGCAGCCTGCTGCCTTACCCAGCAGTTACTGTAGACGCTCTGGGGGAAGATGAGATCACCCTAGACTCTGTGCTACATGGGAAGTTCACCGTTGGTAAGCCTGTTTGTATGAAACAATTATAACTTCAACCTGGGCAGACATTAAGTCAACTATCCATCCATCTATTAAATGAACTCTCTATAACATGTGCTTCGTTGCTGCAACAAATAAAATGCTTTTACAAAACACATCTTGTCGCTGGAAGAGTACAACAGAAACATTGATCTAACATGACCTTTAATACATCTGATGACTGTCATCTGTTAAATCTGAGATTCATTTTTTGCGATCTCTGAGTGAATAAAACATTTGAACACATTTCCTAGTTAACAGTCAAAGGTTAATGAAGAGAATTGATGAATTTCCATTGTCAGTACTTGGTTCAACCTGTCTTCAAAGTATTTTATGGTCTATTCATGACTTGTAGGAGACAAAACTTTAAACTAATTATGATTGCAAAGGAATTTAGACCAGAGGTCTGGATCATTTTTGTAATTACTATTTTTCAGCAGTAGGCCTGTAATCATTGACCATGTTGCCAAAAGTATGAAGAAAAAATCAGTTTAGCTCAGTTTATTGAAAATGGTCCGTTTGTTTTACTTGACTTAAAACTGTAAAAAAAGTATATTCATTTAGTGACACATAATTCTCCTGTATTATAAACTGAAGTTTAAGAGTAAGCTTGAACAAATAGCTGCAGGTCATTTGTTATCCACTTACCTGTGTTTCTTTTAGACCAACTTTTTATTAATTTGTGACATAGGTTGCAGTTCTTCATCATCTTGTACTTTTAGATTACAGCATTACTTAAGATAAATAAACCTACTACAGTGCTGATTACCTTGATCATAACCCTCTCACTTTTCACTTCCTTTTCCTTCCTGGGTGTGAAGGTCGCAGCGGGTTGGCCTGGCTGGCCTGTGGCCCCCATCTGGAGGTCGTCCATGCAGTAACAGGAGAGCGACTGTCTGCGTACTGCTTCGGTGGTGGAGGAGAGCACCCACCCAGTGTCCTAGCTGCCAGGGACTTCAGCTGGCTCAAACGGTCAGGGCTTTGTTTTCTCTCTTTAACACTCTGATGTGGATTGTAATCAATAGATACAAACCATTTATTGCTATTCCAACTTGAGATGATTGTTAGTCTGTGACTGTAAGGATCAGCTTTAAGAGGTCAAATAAATATTGTTGACATTGCAGAGGAGACGAGGAATGTTCACTCCTTCACTTTTGTATTTCACAGGTCTGGATTGCTTGTAGGCCTGGAGGAAGCAGAGGGCAGTGTGCTGTGTCTTTATGACTTGGGACTGTCCAGGGTGGTCAAAGCTGTGGTAATACCAGGCAGGGTAAGTTTGAGTCACAGTCTCCTCACCTAAACCAGACATATCTCACAGAGTGCTATTGCACAGCGAATTATGATGAACACATACAAACGTTTAGGCACTCAGATTATAAAGAGTTAAGCATACTATGACAGAAACTACACAAGTAGTTTGATGTAGTAATTTGTAGTTCTAAAACATTTCAGTGTCTGTCAGTGTCAGGGGGTATGGAGGTAGAGATTGATTATGTAAAAAAAAAAACATCTGATATACCAGTCAATTATAATTGACGTGTTTGATGGTTGCATAATAATTTTTCAGGGTTATTATGGAGATTTGATTCAGCATGCTGATACTTTATCTGATTTTTCCATAGCATAGCAAAGTGTTCTATCAAATCCTCTCTGTTGTCTAGATTACAGCAATTGAACCGTTGGTGAGTTATGGCGGAGCAAGCACTTCAACCCAGCATCTTCACCAGAGTCTGCGCTGGTTCTTTGGCATCGCTGCCGTAGTAACGGACCTAGGCCATGTTCTGCTTGTGGACCTCTGCCTGGACGACCTGTCCTGCAGCCAAAGTGAACTGGAGGCTTCAGGTGAGGACACTGCTTGAGCGTTTGAATGTTATATGATAATGTACATGTTCTTTTGGCTTTTTTTCTGTGTTCTTCCTCTATTCTATTCTGTTTATTGTTTATTTTTCCTCTTTACTCCCAGACCTGCAGGTCGTGACCAAATCTCCTTCGGAGATCCCCAGACTTCGAGAAGTCAGCACCAGACAAGGCAGACATCTTTGTCTCCAGCTGAATGCTCCCAGTGGAGTGGGAGCCACAGCTCTGCAGTACATCTCCAGGACCAACCAGCTGGCAGTGGGATTTTCTGATGGATACTTACAGCTGTGGAACATGAAGGCGCTGAAGAAGGAGTCAGTCCTTGTTTTTCTTCTGACTTTCTACATATTGTGAAAGTGGGGAAGATAGATAAAAATGGATTGAATTAAAATTAGGCCACATTCCATTATTCTTCTCGCCCTGGCTCTGCCTTCTCTGACCTCTTTCTAACGTTCTCTCTTTTCTTTCTCTTTTCGTGGTTGGGATGGTGGATTTCTTTACTGGGCGCTTGTCCTTTAATTGGACATCTTGTATCTTATTTTTATTTCAGATGCCTGTTTATTTGCCTAATTATTAGTTTGTTGATTTGTGTATTTGTTTTTACTTTTTAAAAACTTTTTAAAAAATTGTCAAATGTAACTTGTTTTTGAAACTTTTTATATAAATAGAGTAATTATCTTTATTATTATTATAACTTAATGCTTTGTAGTTTCTTACTCAAAGAAAAGAAAGTGGATAGTTATTAGAGGTCTTTTCTCCTTATAATTCAAAGGCTGCATTTAATACAGTCTTCTGCACTGGTAGGTAGATTTGAAATGTTTTGGAATCACTGTTGGAGTTTATATTTTTGTGTTAATTCTGATTTGTTTGATCGTACATAGATACCACTCCCAGTTGGACAGTGGCAGGGTGCCCATTCACGCCTTCACCTTCCAGGAACCTGAAAACGACCCCAGGAACTGCTGCTACCTCTGGGCTGTTCAGTCTTCTCAGGACCTGTAAGCCTTCCATACAACAAACACTACATACAAGCAAAACATAGTTTATTTTTGTTTGTTTGTTGTTGTTTTTTTCCAAGCTCTTATCTTGTCTCCTCTCACTCCCACTCAGTGAGGGAGATATGGTCAGCCTCCGCCTGCTTCAGCTGGCGTTCAGTGAAAGGAAGTGTCTCGCTTCTGGAAGGATCCTCTATGAGGTCTGTTGTGCCCTACAAATATGCAACAATATGTTTTTCTCTCTTCACTTGAATTTAATACCTCTATACTATGCTTGTCAGCTTTAACTTACTTGGTTGAATCTCTGTCATCATGAACTTCGTGTTACTCAGGGTCTGGAGTATTGTGAGGAGCGTTACAGTCAGGACTTGAGTGGCCCAGCCTTCCCTCTCAGGGCCCAGGCCACCAACACCCGTCTGCTGAGTTGCCAAACCATTGAGAAGTTCAGAGCTCATCCTGACAGAGATGACAGCATGAATGAAGGTAAGAGGTTTTATTTCACTAGCTAGAACTCCAGTGGAGATCTCATTATGTGGGAGACAAATAAGTGTTTTTTTATTTTGTATTTAAACTGGAATGTTTTGTGCTTTGATATTGCAAGCAGATTATGAAGAAATGTTCTACTCTTTGTCTCTTCACCACATTTCTTTCCCATCGTCAGTTGCCTCTCCAGACACCAGTGTGTCTATCTTCAGCTGGCAAGTGAGGGCATACGGGCAGGGGACCCCATCTACCTACATCGGGGTTTTTGACATCAACCGATGGTACCACGCACAAATGCCAGACTCCTTAAGGTACAGTGGAGTTGCAACTAGTTTTTTTTAAGGAAATTTTCAACTTTTAATTATTTGAACATGCACTTTAAAAACCATGATTGTACAACGAGCAGGTGAAGATAAGCTTATAATGAAATTAACCGATCAGAAAGGGGACAGAAATAGAACTTTTTAAATGCTTGGAATTAAGAAATGTGTGAAATAATTTGCTGGTGGCACAAATGTTCAATGCAAAGTTATAATCAAATACATTCTCCATGTAGTTGGATAAAACACAAGACAGAGTTCTTCTAGGCTTACCACTTAACTAACAGTACACAGCAGATGAAAAGATGTTCCATAACCTCTCTTTGTTTTTGTTATTACCATTAGTTATTGTGTGCAAGACAAAATAATGTCACAGATGAATTAGGTATAGATACCAAAGGTTTGCTTAATGCACAACAGCAGCAGTGTGGACTGTTAGATATTTATTGTGTCCTCTTGTCCTGGGCTTGTTGTAATCATAGCACATGTTACTGTGACACTGCATTTCACTTGTGTGGTGGTATTCTTGTTTTTGTCAGAACGGGGGAGTCTCTTCAAAATTGTCCCTACCTGGCGGTCTGGTCTCTGGACTCTGTGGTGCAGATGGTGTCTCAGCACCTCCTCCTCGATGTGCTGGTGCACGAGCGCAGCCTGAGCAGAGGCATGCCCTTCACCTGCCCCCCATCAGAACAGTACTTTAACCCCACCACATACAACTTTGGTATGTATAGACACAATGTACAACAATGTGATCTGATGATGTATCTTTTGTTTAACCACTATGTACTGCTGTCACCTATTTATACAGCTTAGGAATAAGCATGTACAGACATGCATAGGTTTGTAGTTGTAATATAGTTTTACTAAAACATGTTTTTTCTCTTTATGTAACAGATGCTACCTGTTTGCTCAACTCCGGAATAGTGCACTTAACCTGCTCTGGGTATCAAAAAGAGGTGAGTTTCTCTTGTTCATAAGCTGACTGTAAAACAGTGACAGTTCTGTCTTTGCCTTTATAAACACTCTACTTAAATGTTGTTTTAATATGGATATATATTTATATATTTGGATCTAGTCTTTTGATGTATTGCATTCCTACCTTTGATTTAGCATACCCTGCAATGATGTGTATCACCTAGGCTGCATAATAAATGAACTACAGTATTTGAGTTTGAATGGAACAGAAAGTAAGCTTGTTTTGCACCTAACCAGCACCTCGATATTGTCATTCATACACAGACACTGAGCTTTTTGAAGAAAGCTGCCCCTTGTTCCAGTGACATCATCTCCTCCAGCTACTCTCGCTGCCTCATGTCTGGCCTCCTCTCATCGCGCCTGGCTGACACTCAGGCCTCCAGCCTCTCTCAGGTACAAACACATTCTTGATGACATACTGTATTTCAGGCCACTGTTCATCCTGCTTCTGTTTTCTCTATTATAGTTCCCCTCAAATAAAATCATTTATTCTATATGAACCATATTAGATTTCTTGTGAAGTTTAGTTGTTGTTGTAACTTGATGTTGTCCTGCAGGAGGAGCAGCTGGATGCCATCTTGTCCACAGCGGTCGAGACCAGCTCTTTGGGACTGATCACTGGCTGTATTAAGCAGTGGACTGCAGAAGGTGTGTAGTTTCACTTGGAATTGCCATCCATTTTTTTCCCCCTTAAATTGTTTGTCTGTTCTCATTGTGGTCACGTGTAGGAGGAAAATATGTTTGCTCAGAGTCCCCACCTAAACATATAAAGTACTTTCCTCCTCTGGATACAACCTGCAGTCGACAATAATACTTATAATTCTGTCCCCATTAAACAGAACAACCAGGCTCTGCTCTGAATCTGCGCTACATCCTGGACTGGGCCTGGAACAAAGTAGTACAGACAAAGGAAGAACTGGATGGAATCTGTATGTTTTGATTTAATTAATCATCATTTGTTCTGTGGTTTTTAGTGTACATAATGACAACCCTTCCTTTGGCTACTCAGTGATAGATTTGAATTTATGAGATCAGATATGTTTGTATAAGCTTTGTGTAGGGTATATTAACTCTTGAAGCTGATTAAAACTACAACTTTGAATACATAGTGCTATTTAACTTTTTAACCCCTAAGGATTTAAATTGTTGATCTTGTAAAATTTTTCCATGTCTACACTTCCTGAAGTTTTTTTATAAACTATTTCTAAACTTGATTTTTTTTCGGTGTCCCCTGAACCCGTTTGTTGTCTAGGTGCACCGCTGTTTGACAGCTCATCCAACTTCACAGACCCTCAGACGCTGCAGCTTCTTCAGCACAGCCAGAGGCTGCTCAGTAACCTCAGCACCATCTTCCACTGTCTGCTCAGTGAAGCTCAGGAGCTCACACAGAAAGGTGCAGCATCAACACACCTGTATTCACATGTACACATGTCATCTTCCTATCAGGACGCTGTCGTGCTACTGTTTTCTGTCATTTGTAGCCATTGGCTTTAAGCCTTGTAGTGATATTTTCAATTTCTGTGTAGGTCTGGTGGGTCTAATGAACAAGAACATGGTGTCCAGTCTCATTTCCAAGTACGCTCAAGTGGTGCTCTGGTTCTGTCGTACTGGTCTACTGCCCGAGGGATCAGGTAAAGTGCTGCAGGGATCAACAGGATCTAGGGAACCTTACCAGCTATTTCAGACAACACCTAGAAAAGCATTTGTTATTATTTTTATTATTAACAGTTTGTTAGAGTCAGTTAATAAAGAAGTGGGATTCAGGTTTAACAAAGGTAATCTTTAACTTAAAGCATTGTGCAATGTATAGCCAGGAAACTCAACTAAAACTACAATTTAATACTTAATAGAAGTATGAAATGATTTACTTTTTCTCTGTGACTTGTATCCGCCCCTTCCAATCAGACGATGACGCTCTCCAGATCTCCAGGCCTTTCTACACTCCCTCAGTCATCGGCAACTATTATACGATACGCAGAGAGGAGCTCACCAGGCTGTCGAAGTGAGTGGTCTTCTTCTTTGAAAGCTGCTAAATCTTAAACCTAGTCCAAGTGAATGACTTCAGCTAAATTGTGTATCCTCACACTTCTTGTGTCTCATATACTCAACAAGTGATCAACAAGTTCCTAAGATGTTACAATGAGATAATGTTCTCTCTCTGTCCTTGTGTGATTGATGTTGGTGCTGACCCTCCTGTGTTCCTCTTCAGGGGCAAGTGGTGTGCAGACTGCCTGATGATTGACGGGTTGGTCGGCCAGTGTGGTGATCGCTTGACCAACCTGTGGAAAAGGGATGAAGGCGGTACAGGGCAGTACCCCCCACCATCATTGCATGTAAGCATTCCAAATACTTATTTTAGACCTTCTCATCGGTGTCACATTGAGTTTGCACCTGCGGCTTTTTGGCACTAGGAAAATAATTGTCTTGTACCTTTTGATTCACAGGCCTTGTTGGACATTTATTTACTGGAAAACATTGACGAAGCCGCCAAACATGCCATTGTATCCTTTGCTCAATAACCCTCCAATGTGAAGTCTTCTTTGTCTCGGCTCGTATTTTTTTCCCTGACTTCAAGGATAACATATTATTCTCTTGAATACATTATTTTAGAATGTACAGTTCTACACTAATGTTACAAACTTTATTTTGTAATCCTCTAGCTGTGATTTCATGATACCTGGTGTTGTGATCAGAGTATTATAATTGATCATGTATTCTCTGTTTCCATTTAGAAAGGTGTCAGTTGTCGTTTGTAAATTTGTCATTCTGATCTCAAATCCCCAAATCTCTCTTTGATAGACTAAATTCAATATTCTGTACATACATTATATGCCTTGACTTCTTGTCCCAGGTGATTTACCTTTTGCTCGATGTCATGCACTCCCTCCCTAATAAGGAGGGAGCATCAGTGGAGTTTTTCCCCACAGCTTTTGCCATTCCCATTGGACTGGTGAAACTCGTACAGGGCCTCTGGCTTCTGGACCATCATGACCACCAGGTACACATGGATTGATCTGTTCCTGACTTATCCTTACATTTAGCTATTACAACTTATTTTGATTTACTATGATATTTACTTAACTTAAAAAAACCTTGTGTTCTTCTGTGTCTTGGTCAGAGTTCATTCGAGCTGCTCCTTCATCCAGCATCCTCTCAGTGTCAGTTTAAGTGGCAGCACGAGCGGGTCCTGCAAGCTCTCATGTGCCAGGGTCAACACCCGGTGGCACTACGATATTTTCAAGTCACAAAACCCCCAATTTCCTCCACTGCCCAGGCCAAACTCTGCCTGTCTGTCCTGCTACACAACAGGTAAGAGAAAGTCAACTCTGTGCACTCCTCTCATTAGAAACAGTGTTGGAGTTTTGTAATTGTGAAACAAAGTCAAGAAAAACAGTTTTTGACAGCAAACTGTTGCTCCCTTCTTCCAGGTGTCTCATCGAGGCGTGGGCTTTACTTCGGCAGCACTCTAGTCGTCTCAACATGGCCGAGCTGATGGGTTTCCTGTATGAGAGCTGCCAGGAGCTGGGCCTCATCAAGGAGCTGCTCAAACTGCCCCTGGGCCTCGCTGAGCAGGTAGGACAGATATAAGTAAACACACAGTTAGTTAAAGACAATGCAGTTTGTACATTTATGTATAAAGTCAATTCACAAATCCGCGTTTGTTTATTCTGTGTTTTCAGGAATGTTTGGAGAAGTTTCTCCAGGGGACCGGAGGTCTCCAGAACCGAGAACTGCTGATGGTTCATTACCTCCAGCAGGCCAACTACATTCCTGCCCTCCAGCTCAACCACAGCCTCAAACTGAACCTTGTGGTATGTTTGACACACGCACATTTAAATATTACATGTTTAAACATCACATATCCATTAAAACTATTGATTTTATAGAGAGAAGACACTTGATTAAATGTCCTCTTTCTTTTTCTTTTGTTCTTAGAATGAGCGAGACCCAAAGCTTAAAGAACGAACAAACACCAGGAACTCGATATTGGATCAGTACGGAAAAGTTTTACCCAGAGTTCAGAGGAAACTGGCGATGGAGAGAGCCAAGCCCTACCAGCATTCCTACGCCATCCACAGAGAAGGTAAGGAGAGGTGCTCCATCAACTGTGTCTGTAACAAATTACTTATATAGTCACATTCTTCTTTGATAATAACACCTTCACACTGTGCTCCAGTCTCTCGACCACAGCCACTATCAACCATCACCAAGCGCTCCGCCAGTGAGAAGGTGATGTCGAGGGCCGGCTTCATCAACAATCTCCTGACAAAGATCGAGGAAGTGTGGTTAGGCAAAGGAGAAACACCGCAATCCTCACCAGCAAAGAGGTGAGCACAGAAGTCACCCAAATAGAACCTCAGGGTTTATTTTTAAATACTGAAGTATTTGCTTATAATGGTATTTTACCTCTAACCTCAGGGCTGCTGATGTTAAGAGCCCCAAGTCCTCTTCCTCGACTCTTCCTGACCCCTTCCTGGGGACACCGATCACTATGACCTCCAAACGGAAGTCAAGGTACTGTCCTGAGTGAGACGTGTCATAGACATTTGTGTGAATGCGAAAGGAAACCAAAAGGAGTTTATTAACTATATCATTTTGACTCCTGAAAGTTGAATCACTGGTTTTGGTGGTTAAACTGGATGGCTTTCACATGGATTTATTTTTACTTTTACCATACCAATGTATGCAAGCAGTCTGATCCTTTGTGTTGTAAGCATGCTACATGTTTTATTAACTATAATTAAATGTTGATGAGCCTCATAACAAGGCAACCGCATAAAGGTATTAATACTTTGTTTTGAAAGACATCAGCAGTAACCGCTTCTGTAGTCTCTATTTAGAAGTAGATGATGTGGTTAATGTGATAGCAAACTGTGGACTGCAGTAACAGCAGAGTTCTGTTAAGACAGAATCTTAAAGTCATGGATGGTCCTCATCTTCACTGTGTCCCAGGCTCATGGACTTGGTGGTTCACCCCTCCTGTCAGACCCCCCGCCCTCTGCTCAGCCCCCCCAGACCTCCCAGCTCCTGGATCTCTCCAAAGAGCACCAGCAAGGGGCCTGAGCTTAGTCTTCTGCAAACACCGCAGGTCGTCAAGGTGAGCAGACATGTGCAATTCTCACTAGATTTTAAAAAACTTAGTATTTCACTCATTGTTAATCATCTGTCCTGGAGCATTTTAATTTGTTATTCACAGTTTTCATGTTCTTCTCTTAGCGAGCTCGCGCCTTGGCTGCCTCCGTCCTGTGTTCTCAGCCTTCACTCCACAGTCCATCCTGCGCAGCAGCCTGAGGCCCACACCTGTTGCCACCCCCTCTGCTTCTCCAGGACGCTCCCTTACGCCTCCACCTCGCAGCAAAGAGAACCGGATCACCTTCATCGAAGAGGCTGAATCTCCTGAACCAGAGAAGGGCATTCGATGGACTAATGGGGTAAGACCGATGAATAGATTGGGATGATCTGTTGATTGCTGGTTCCCCTTAAAAGAGGTTTAGTAAGTGCTTGATTTGGGGGTTTTTGATTACATGATGGGTTTACAGATGCATTATAATATTAATATTGAATAAAGCAAATACTGCAAATTGTGTTCCATATGCAAAGCATCAGCTAATATTAATGGATAACATTGCTCTCACCGATATCAGCTTTCATGTGTGTTTCAGCAAACGTCCCTCTTTCTCATGAGTCTCAGTTTGTCTTCATTGTGAAATGTGTTTCCAACCTCCCTTGAACTGTTTTTCTCTCTAGATGGCAGCAGACAGCGAGATTAGCTTGTTGACCAGAGGCTCTTTGCTGTCCAAGTCCTCCCGTAAAATCTGGTCCGCACAGCCTGCGGAGGAGGAAGAGGAGGAGGAAGAGGAACAACCTCATGTAAAGTTCTTGCCTCCAGAAGGGGGTATTCCCTCTCCAGAGCTGAGATGCTTCGAGAGCGAGCCTTCCTCGCTCAGTGAAGTCGCTGCTGAAACCAAACCATTACACCTCAGCCTGAGCTTCGACACCAGCCAGGCGTCTCTCCGATCAACCGACACCACCCTGGAGTTCTTTGATGCTCCACTCTCTGCGGTCCAGGAAGGAGAGGAGGGACATGCTATTTCAGAGGAAGATGGAGTGGTAGTGACGATGAGCAGAAAAGGACTGAGGGAAAAGGAAGAAGCACAGGAAATACCCTCGCCTATCACAGAGCAAACCCCTCCCCTGACCTCAGAAGAGCACACTGAGGATGACGACATAGAGGACACTCCCCCAGTGACGGAAGAGGAAATAGTTGAGGAGGTCATGGAGATTGGTCTTGATCAAGAAGTTCAAAACGAAGAAGTTCTGTCTGAAAATGAAGACAAACAGCATGCCGAGTCAAACAGCGAACAAGAAGGTGCTGCACTTCTCGACCATGAGCAGTTGTCCAGTCTCAATCAAGGTGATTAACTCTTATTTGTTTCTTCACAACTTATTATAAGACACCAGCACTAGCACCACAATAAAGTTGATGCTATGCTCATTGCATGACACATGATTTCCTTGATTAGTTTCTATCCAGGTAACTGAGAGTGAAGAGCCTGTCCCTGAAGTGGAATGTCAGGATCAGCTGTTAATTGCTACAGGGCAGGACGTCCAATCAGAGGCCACAGAACAAACAGAGATCATTGAGCAGGAAGCAACCCCTGCAGCAGCTGAACCCTCATGTGAACCTGAAGAGGATCCAGAGCCATCGACAGGTAAGAGTGACATACTTCTATTCTGAAAGATGTTGGGTTTCAGTTCATTTTTCTGCAATTGCTGCAACCATGAATAATTGAGCTGTTGTTGGTTGTTGGTTTGTTATTACTAAGTAAAAGATAGAGATGATTTGTATTTGTCTTTTGCCAGCAGATCTGACAGAGTTCGTGCAGAGACATTTGTTTGACAGTGATTCGATCTCACTGCTCGCCCGCTCAGGAATCCATGAAACATCACCGACCCTGACAACCTTCAACAAGTATGTGCTGCTTTCTTTTGATTAAGAGACATCGCATCACTTTTTTAAAAAAGTGTGATATTCTCTGAAAGGTTTTCTGGATAGAATAATTTATCCAAACTTTTAGTAAAACATAATGCCACATGTCAAAGATTAGAAGGTTGTCTTCTAATTGAATCATTCAGACCATTTAGCAAACAAAGGAATATTCCAGCCAGACAAGATCTTTTTTTCGGAAGTAATGCTTTGTTATCATTCATTTAGCAGGCAGAACAACACGTTTGGATAATATTTATTTCAAGAGTTGGAGCCAACTTAAATTACATTTTTAATAGGAGCTACTGTGGCTCAGTGGTAGAGTTTGTTATCTGGTTGGCAGTTTGATCTCCTGCACACTACATTTGTAATGTCCTTAGGCACCTCACTGATCCCCAAATCTCTCCCAGTGGCCATGCCAGCAGCGTGTGAGTGTGTAAATGTGGGATTAGTTACTTTACATAGCATCCTCGCCTGTAAGCATGTGAATGGGGGAATGTGACAGGTAGTGTAAAAGCGCTTTTAGTGGACAGAAGACTTAAAAATAGGTGCTATATAAGAACAGTCCATTTACCAGTTAGATGGTAGTCTTCTTGTGTTAATCAATGAATAAAACTATAGATATGGAACATGGAACAAGTAATACAAATGTGTTGTAGCCTCATGTTTCCTTTTTTGGCAGTTTGGCGTCTTCTCTGTTTACATGTTTTCACAGTTTAAAAATACCTTTGTCTCTTCCCTCAGTGAGTCATTATGTGAGGAGGAAGAGGAGGAGGAGCCATCCACTGCTGAAGCTCCCCCGATATTAACCAGCCAGAAATCTACTACCTCTGTGACATCCTCTGAGCCTACAGGCACAGACTCCCACTGTGAGGAAGACTGCTCACACACACACACACACACACACACACACACACACACACACACACACACACACAGGTGGGGTTGGAAATCACACGGTAACTCGCGATATGGCTGTTATTGATATATCGGACAGTCATATAATTATTTATTTATTTAATAATACATTGTGATATTTGATTAACTGGAAAATATAAGCTGTCTTTAAAAAGGGCAAAGTGCAGGATGAATGTGTTTATTTATTATATATTCACTGCAATTTTGGTGCCAGGTTTCACTTCCTATCACACTTTCTACTTTAAATTCTTTTAACTGCTGTCTGACTTTATCACCTGTTGTCTTCTTTTTTTACTTACTTCTTCTTTTGTCAACTTCCTCTTTGGTCAATTATCTTCCTTTCAGATTAGCCTCATTCATGTTAAATGTGCAAACACGAGAAATGATGCGGCCAATCAAATTGGCAGAGGAATCTATTAGAGCAAATATCACAATTATCATATAATTATAATTGTATCACATGAGTCAGGAAAATGGTATATTGCTGTATTGATGTTTTTTCCCCACACACACTCTGACAAACACACTATAACGGACACGGCATAGTTAACGCTGGAGCTCAAACTGCTCCACTATTTACCTCACACACCCTTTTTTCTTCTTTTCTTTCTTTGTATCTCCCAGCTGTTGTGAGTGTAAACGATAGTGAAGAGCTTTCCAGCCCTGTGTCTGAGGAAGAAGAAGATGAGGAGGAGGATGAAGAGGATTCTGATCAATCTGAGGAAGAAGAGGAGGAGGAAGAGGAGGAGGACTCTGGTAGTGAGGTGGAGATCATCGACGAGGTCCAGGGTAATGGGAGGCTGCCCCCCCTACAACCCAGCACAGTCTTCATACAACAGGAACACACACACTTTCTGTCAGATCTGTCAGAGCCAGAGGCTGCAGCGTTCTCTCTCATCACACCTGCTGCTGAGATGAAGGTAACACACATACACACACACCCAGCTAATGAGATTTTTAATTTTTAAAGATTATAGAATCAAAAATCATTTATTTTAAGTATAATACACTTTATTTTATTGTTTATGTATTTTAATAAAAACGGATTATCTGTGATTTTGGACCATTCCAGATGGTTGAGGAGGACTTAGAAGGGGAGGTGGTGATGGTGAGACTCGGGGCGGATGATGGAGGCCTGCTGGCAGATGAGGAAGAGCAAGGGTCTTCATACATGGAGCTCAAACCCTCTACCACTCTCCTGGTTCCCCTGGAGCTGATGGAGGGCCAGGACGGTCTCGTGGATGGTGCTCAGCTGGATCTTCCTGAGCTCCAGCAGACCGTGCAAGACGACCTGACGTGTGAAACACAAGGCGGCTTCTCTCTGATGCTGGACGTGGAAGAGGATGGGGACAAAGACGCAGACACCCTACCCATGGAGAACGATCTTCAATCCTCTGAGCCTCCTGCCCTGTCTTATGATGAACTTGTGGCCAAACCCGAGGTTATTCTTTTGGGCATTGATGATCAGGTCTCAGAAGAGGACCAGAGAACAGAGATGGACAGCTTGGGTGGAATTGAGGAAAAAGGACCGACAGAATCAGAGCTTGAAAAACTGTCTGATCAAGCTGAGCTACCAAGTGAATTAATCACAGTAAACCATGAGGCAGAAGATGTTGAAGAAGAGCTGGTAACATTGTCTGAAAAACACCAGCCAGAAGGTCTTTCAGAGTCTCTGTCACCTGCAGAGGAAGATCTCCAAGCTGTAATGGATGAAAACGACTCAGTTGCAGACAATGAATCTGTTGAGGATAAGATGAGTGAGGAGAAGCATGTTGATGAGGAGGAGGAGAAACTATCACCTGCAGAGGAAGAACCCTCAGCTGTAATGGGTGAAAGTGACTCCATTGCAGACAATGAATCCGTTGAGGACAAGATGAGTGAGGAGGAGAACAAACCATCACCTGCAGAGGAAGAACCCTCAGCTGTAATGGGTGAAAGTGACCCTATTGCAAAGAACGATTCAGCTGAACAGGAGATAAAAGAAGAGGATGATTATCCAACAACTTCTGAGGAAGAGCTCCCAGCTGTTATGGATGAAAACAACTCTGTTACAAAGAACGATTCAGCCGAAGAGGCGGATGAACCAACAACTGCTGAGGAAGCACTTCCAACTGTAATGGATGAAAATGAATCTATTACAAAGAGCGCTTCAGCTGAAGAGGAGGTAAAAGAAGAGGAGGATAAACCATCACCTGTTGAGGAAGCACTTCCAACTGTAATGGATGAAAACAACTCTGTTACAAAGAGCGATTCCACCGAGGAGGAGGATAAACCAACACGTGCTGAGGAGCAGGTAGAGCCTCAAGAAAACGGCCCAGTTGTCATGGACATTGAGATCTCCCCCTGTGTGGAGACAACGACTGCTGTGGAGGAGATGCAGCAGGCTGATGAATTCTTAAAAGAGACAGAAGAGCAAATCATTGAGGTTTCTAAGACGGAGAAAGAAACAACAACAATAACCAGGGGCAAACAGAGAAAACCAAAAGAAGCTGAAGCAGAAAAGCCAACGATGATTGAAGCTTTGAGCTCTGAGAGTCAGCCAGAAGAGCCGTCTGTGCTGGAAACCTCTACTTCTCTGAGGAAAAAGAAAGCTCCTTCGACCCCAACAAGGAGAACCACAAGAGGCAGGACGGTCAAGTTCATCTCCCCTCTCACAGAGGAAGCAGAGGAGCCACAGGAGGACGGGAGAGTGGAGGATGTAGAAACGAGCCAACCGGTCCCTTCCTCACCCAGTCGTACACCGAGAAAAGGTAAACAGAGCAAAGATATCAACGGACAAGCTAGCACACCTCGAAGAAGTGCCCGCAAAGCTCAGCAGGGGCCTTCTAATGGTGAAGTGGAGGCCATAGTTAACACTGCTGCTGTGGCATCAACGTCTAAGACCTCGTCTCCAGGCAGACGGCGGGTTTCCCAGAGAGCCGCTTCAACAAGGAGCCAGAGTGGCAGTGACGAGGTGTCTGCAGCCCCAGGGCCTGAAATCAAAGACGAGGAGGAACAAGAGGATGACGTCCCAGATGCAAAGGTTTCTCAACGAACAAGCTCCAAGACTCCCACACCTGCCAAACGAAGGCTCCCTGAGGCGAACACTCCGAGGAGATCCAGCAGGAGGATACTGAGCGGCAGTGAGGTCGTGCAGACACCTTTAGAGGCTTTGAAAGAAGAGGAGCAGGACGAGGTCTTTGCATCACCTGTTAAACGCAGCTCCAGGACTCGACAGTCAAACCAGACGTCTCTTAGTCTTCATCCACAAGTAAGGATTCAACTATGCATTTATTTATTTATTTTGCAAGTTTTTGATGTTAGTATTTAATCTGTTATTCATAGAAAAGAGTAATATCAACAGTCATCCATAAATATTTAATTTGACTACCATATCATTTTGAATTTTTCCTGTTTCATCCATCTCCCATGTTATATGTTTATAAATCATCCATTGACGATATTTAATGATCACACTGGTCAAACTGGTCTCTGTGTCACTTCCTCAGAGTGCAAGAAAGACGGGAAGAGAGACAGTCTCTGAAAACACTAAAGAAAGTGAAGTTCTACACGAGCCTGAGCTGAACAGCCGTGCTGCTCGCACCAACTCGCATCGACCCACCAGAAGCCAACTCTGGGATCACCCTGAGGAAGACCTTCCCCTATTGGACTCCCCGCTTGAGGTGGACTCTGAAACCCCTGTCGCAGACGCCCTCATCAAGAGACTTCAGGATGAAGAAGAGAAACAGGAAGGTACGTATGAGGGTCTTCACATGCTGAAAAAAATAGAATGAAAGAAAGAAGGACGATTGATTTGATATTTGGACATGTTCAGGAATTAAGTGTAAGTTTGTGTAACACTTGCAGGAGGAGTAGTCATCTCAAAGATGGTGAGAACCAGCAAGAGGAGCACCAAGTCGTCCGTTGAGCAGATTCAATCCGTTCCTCCTGAGAAAGACAGTCTGATCCCCGAAGAAGCAGAGTCTTGTCCAGACGAGCATTCGTTCATCTATTCGCCCTCACGTAGAAGAACAAGAGGTGAGCTGTGTACCTCTTTACACGCATGTCCATCACTTTTTATCAGAGACCTATTTATTTCATGGTTTTCGTGTGTGCTGTGTCCGTGTGTCAGCCAGCAGAGCAGAGTCTCCGGGGCCGAGTGAAGAGTTGCCGGTACCCGTCACTCGCAGCAGGAGAAGAGTCGTCAAGGACGCTCCTCATGTAAGTGCTTCAGCTCCTGATGAGGAGTTTCATAAGTCATGTAATCCACAAGCTCCTTTTCCGGCCTAACACTGAGCAGATGATCGATGTCCATTCTTTCTCAATTTAAAAATGTATTTTTTATTTTTTCAGGACACAGAAGAAAATGTGGAAGATGAAAAAGAAGCCCCTGCTAGCACGAGAAAAACAGCCAGACGAACAGCCAAGTAAGAGCCTGTGTCCTTTTCATATAGAAACAATACATTGTGATACAGAACATTTCTTCCTCCCCTGCAAAGTGTTCCCTCTAACACAGATGGGTCTGGGTGACTGATTGGACCTTGCCCTCTCCCAGACTCATCCCTGTAGAGTGAGAGTCAGGGCCGTTGGTATGGTTCTCTGTGTGAGGAATACTCTCATAATATACAATTGGCACAAAACTGACGATCCTGTTGCCTAAGGAATGATTCCTGATGCAACCCTGATACAAAACAATATTTTATTGTCCCCCAGGGGGGTATCTACACCTTGTAAATACAAAGGATTCAACGCAGATCTAAGTTTTAAGATTTAAGTCAAATGTTTAGGCGAGATGTTTTCAATGTCATCATTTGTCAAGGGTTGAATCTCTTGTGTCGATTCTGGCGCCCCCTGTGGACTAAACGCTACCTCTCATGTCTTTTCGTGGGTTTTGTCCTGTAGTGGTGTTTTTAACAGAAAATGCTGCTGCCTTCTTTTAACAGTCAAATGAATCACTCATCAAGAATCTTAGTCATCAGTATCTGACACCTACACCTCAGCAGATGTTTCTGGCATTCAAAACAAACATATAGAGAAAATCAATGTTCATAACCAATGTTCTCTGATTTACTGTATTTGTAGGTCGGTCAATCAGTATTGATTTCAGTCTGTCTTATAACCAGCCTAAAACTCCTCATCGGGGCTTTAATGCTAGTAGTGAACTTTCTATTTAGCTTAATGACAACTAGCACTGTAGTTTGTAAATATTTTGTGTTGAAGAAAATCAGCCCCTGCTTTTTTTCTTTTCCCCACCTTCAGATCCAAAGCCGTTCCTGAGCCGCCTCCCATAGCACAGGTGGACCTGATCTCACCTCTGCCTAGCCCAGTTGATCCACCTCAGCGAGTACAGAGGAGGACAAAGGAGGCAGAGGCCCCCGCCTCCAACATGAACCTCCGACGCAAACGCATAATGGACACCGTTTTCACCAAACCCGTCACACGGAGGAAGAAACTCTGAGGAGGTCGATGAGGAGTAAACCTTTGAACCTCAGTCAGCAGCCAGAAGACTTTAAACAAACTGTTTGAGAAGCTGTCTAATAAAAGTGTATGCATAAACTCCTCCTAACGGTTATATCTCCTCAGATGCCTCGCAGTGCTGCAGTTTTCTTTCTTTCTTGACTTCTCTGTAGGGCAAAGAAATAAAGCAATGTAGGCATGAAAATATATTTTGAGACAAAACACATGGGTGTACAGCCATGTGAGTGGACTATATTTTTGGAGTTTACACAGCACTGTTACAAACTCGCATAATCTCACATCTGTGGCTGTTTTGTGTTGGACTTTGTAATGCTCCTGCTACGATGAAGTCTTTGGCTGTAGAGTGAAATGAGGGAAAGCAACAGTGTGGAGTTAGTAAACCAGAGAGACTGAAGTGAACTTGCCTCAGCTGAAGAGGTTTTATTTACATTCTCTAATATTTTAATTTTTTTCTGCTGATGTTTACTTTTAAGATTTCAAAGCCTGCTGTTTTTTTTCTATTTAAGAAGAAAGGCAACCAACCCAGTGGAGACCTGAGGTTTCTACTGATAGATTTGTAAATAGTCTTTTGCTATGTTCCAAATAAAGTTAATAAATAAATCATCAACGAATAATGTTCATTTTGAAGTGTGAAGTGTCTGGATTGCATTTGATCATCTTATCAGACTGCCTATGCCATAGTCTTAAACTTTCAGTGAGTGGAGGGAGATTCTGTGACCTAGACAGATGTGTACGCTTCAGATTTTTGTCTATTAGAGGGATGTTGTATAGTGTGAATGAAAACAAAACTTGCACAGTGGTTTGAGTTGGTTAAATTCCTTTGGGATATGTTAATAGGCTTGTTTAATTAAAATATGGCAAATCCCATCTGACAAAAGGCTATTTTCTGATGAATGTATGTAGAATGTCTTATTTTTGATGACTGCTCTTTGATAAATATGGTAAAGCTTGAATACTTCTGAGTGAGCGTCTCAATTTTATTAACTCATAAATGCTCCTTTGGTAGCTCGCTGGGAGGATGGAGTTACTAAAAGAGTGAGCCATTATTTCTTTCTGAAACTTTCTTTCATTTAGAAACATTTCACAGACTTGCTGAATTTCGCTAACTTTCTAATGGAAACTTCAGGAAGCTTACTGAAATACTCAGAAACCATCAGTCGGCAACTTTCTGAACAATTCAGAGGCTTTTGTTCTTACATTTTCCAAACATTTCTTTCAACAAAAAACGTTTTCTTTCTTGGGAAACTCGAATCCTTTTTTTGTCAATCTTTACTTCTGACCTCATCCTTTGTGTCTCAAATATCAGACGAGCTTCATGTTGAAAAGTTAACTTTTTTTTTAAATGTCAGTTTATGGTTCATGAAGTGATCAGGGTGGAGTTTGATTCCAAGACCAGATGAAAATGTTGACAGAAAGGTGATTCTAAATGTGTAACTGTTCCATATAAATTTGACCCCCTTTCTCTTCTCGTGACTCTTTTATAATTTATGGCGGCTGACAGTGTGAAAGTGAAACCGGCCTTATCTTTAGTACTCCCCGTCCAATACCAGGCTGTCTGGAAAAAAACAAGTAATAAGCTTTACGATCTTCACTTCTCATTTAAAAGTATGATATGAAGGAATTTTGATCAAACACCTGGTCAATAGTTATTCTACAAGTTTTAAATTAATTTCAATCTATGGCATTTTTAGTGCATAACATTATTAAAGTTGAGTTTCAGCTTTCAGTCGTTAAACCAATTTGTCTTCCATCTTCTTTTTCTTTAAAGCATCCCTCACAGGCTCATATGGACTGTGGAGTGCCTGTCAAGTTAACCTGATCACGTCTATGTCACAGTGTAACTAGACACAGTCCTGTGTGTGTGTGTGTGTGTGTGTGTGTGTGTGTGTGTGTGTGTGTGTGTGTGTGTGTGTGTGTGTGTGTGTGTGTGTGTGTGTGTGTGTGTGTGTGTGTGTGTGTGTGTGTGTGTGTGTGTGTGTGTGTGTGTGTGTGTGTGTGTGTGTGTGTGAGGGAGTTGATCACTCAGTGAGCTTATGTCCTGAGCACAAACCTGCTGCCTGCTGCACCATGAGGGCTAAAGCCTCAGACATGCACAGCAAGGACTGCGTCAAAGTGGCCGTCAGGGTCCGACCCTTCAACAAGGTATCATATATTTCTTATTTTGTTAATACTCTTTGAGATTTATTTTTTATACTGTTATTGTAATGTATTACTATATCAGTGTAATGTATTCACTGACATATAACCATATAAAGATTGATGGATCCAACCTGTTCAGTAGTAAGACCAGGAGAGTTATTGTTAGACGTAGTATCAGTGTTTGTAGTAGAATGAAGAATACGTTGTTCAAACATACTCACCATTTCATAGTTTCTAATTATGCATCTCAGTATCAAATAAGCTCTAAATGATCAATCATAAAGCACCAATCAAATCCTTATTCTGCATGACTTAATGACTGTAAGGTCATTGGCTAAGAGTTTCCCTTTACCTCATCTTAATTACATCAACATTAATGACCAAGTGGTTGTAGTACATAGCCATTCAAATAAAGCCTAACCTGATGACTATCAGACCAGTCTTAACCAGTGGATATTGACCAGAGTATTTACAGATCTGTAAATAAACAATCACAGAAGGATTGAACTTTCGTTCATCCAGCAGTAATAACCACAAATAGAGAGTCTCACCTAGTTACCTGTCGGAGAGCAAAGCTGAAGATGCTTTTATTGCAGTTCTCCCATTTTCCTTGGGATCCATGTCAAATCTTTTCCAACAGCGTTATTTCCCTCTTCTCATCCTCCATCAATTCCTTCCTCCCTGAAGAGGGAGAGAGATGCAGGCAGCCGCTGTATTATTTCCATGGTGACCAGTTCCATCACCATCCAGGACCCGCGGGACCCTCAGAGCCGCCGCTCCTTTTGTTTCGACTACGCTTACTGGTCCCACAGTGGCTTCACTCGTGACCACAGCGGCCTCTGTGTGCCTGAAGAGCCTGGAGGACGATATGCGGACCAGGTCAGGTCTGATGCCTGCTGGTAGAACGGGCTAATGGTTTACAATCAGCAGAATGCACGGTGCTAGAGGAAACAATCTAGGCCCTATAAGTAGTTGTATTGACCAGAAAGCAGAGATCTAGAGTTTGATCAAGATCAAGACAGAACTCTGTTATGGATTTGCAGCTCACAGAATATCTTCTACCCACAGGACAGTGTGTTTCAGGACTTAGGAGAGGGAATCCTGGAGAATGCACTGCAGGTAACAATCGTCACAACATGAACTAGAGTTCTCATTTATATCATAAAGCCTAGTCTTTTTTAAACATAAGCACATTTTGATCTGTTTCTTGGCTCACACATCTGTTCAGTGTAAATCTGTTCTGTCCTGAAATGTTGTCTGCAGGGATACAATGCCACTCTCCTGGCCTACGGGCAGACCGGCTCAGGGAAGAGTTACTCCATGGTGGGCTACGGGCCAAACAAAGGCCTGGTTCCTAAACTCTGTGAGCGACTGTTTCAGGCCATCAGAGAGAACCAGGACTCACGACAGTGTCAGGTAAAAAGACACCTTCATTGACCTGCACATCCTGTTAGTATGTAGCTTAAGCTATTCTTAATGTTTAATTAAATGTGTGTCTACACAGGTCTTTTTCAGTATGTTGGAAATCTATAATGAGCAGGTAACAGAAAGATGAAGCAGCTCTCCTTTTCTTATTCATGAAAAAGTGATTGATCTGGTAGATAACCAGCTTCACTCCTTCCTCAACCTATACTTCCCTCCCTCTCTCTCTCTCTCTCTCTCCTTTTTGTCCAGGTGGTGGACCTGCTGTCTCGGGGGTCTCGTACCCCAGGGGGACTCAGAGTCAGAGAGGAGCAGCAGAGAGGTTTCTATGTGGAGGGTCTGCGAACAGTCCCATGTGACAGTGCACCACAGGTAGGAGATGATTATAGAGATCATGTTTATGAGTTTATATTCAACTCTAAAAAGCTGAGTCTGTTAAATCTTCAAGAATCTCTTTAAGAAATGAGTTCCTTTAATTTGACTTAAAGCAGTAATGATGAACTTTAATAATATGTCAATGTGGTCCATCTCTTTTCTGATTCTCTCCTGTACATGGCTCGTACTCTCTCAAGGTAATAATCTTGTCCTGAGTCATTTTCACTGGCCAACATGCTGAACATGGTCAAATGTTACTGGCAAAAATAACACAGCTTTTTGAACAGTGAACTTGAGAATACGGCCCCATGATGAGGTGGCCAGCATCCAAAATTGCTATACATATAACTCGTCGTCTGACTGGTGTTCATGTTCTTTTGAAGGTCATCCAGCCACAGAGGGATTAAACCGAGGCTGTTTTAAAACCAGTTTAAATTACCAAATTAAAGGCCTGAGAACACTGAAATCATTAAATTAAGAAAGAAAACTAGAGCTGTGATGGAATACATTTTAGGTGAATTTATATGAACATAACAAACAAGGTAATATAAAACCACCTCACTGTGAAAGTTTCCACCCTGTAGAAAAACCTAAACGATTGAATTTAAAACTATCAGGCAGTTTGGTACAACCGTGGCTTGAGGAGTTATTAAAAAAGAACACTGATTTACTGTAGCACGCTCGGTCTCATCAAGCTGAGCATTTCAGGGTCTGTTACAGCAAATGCATGATCACCTTTTGTTTTTTGGGGTTACCATGGAAAAGGTTACAGAGGTCAATATCGAATTCCAAAACAAGGATCTATGTTATCCTTCACCCCCATAAGTCACATCACATGTCCTCCGGTCAGACGAGTGTATATCCGCGTAGAGACATTTGTTTTAGAGAAGAATGTAGCTTTGAGTTCATCGTTGTTATCTTCAAGACTTTGATTCCTTGCGCGACAGAGGCGGTAAAGTATTATGAGGACAGCTGTGACTTAACAGGAGACAGAGACCTGATGTATTGCTTTGTCACAGACAGACTTTGACCTCCAGATCTTAAAGGTTCACATCTGTCCTGAAAATGACCGGGGACAAACTATATCATATTACTAAGACACCTCAGTGAAGGAGAATTATAGGAGCCAGTATGTTCAGAAACAAGAACTACTAGTGATTTAAGATATCGCTTCAGTGGTCTTCTTTTTGTGTGTTTTTAATCACTTTAAATGTGTTTTTTTTAAATGAAGGTGGAGCAGCTGATGGAGCAGGGGACAAGGACCCGGACCACCGCTGCCACTCACATGAATGCAAACAGCAGTCGTTCACATATGCTCATTATCCTCCAGCTCAAACAGGTGAGCTATGCACGGACTAAATGAAGTCCAGCAACACTGCACACATGTTTTACAAGGTGACATTTGTCTGTCCTACTATACCTGTAGTTCTAATGAACACTATTTTATCAAGCTGTTGTTGCTAACTTAGCTTTAAGGACATTGTATGATTCTACAAACAGTTTTTCTCAGTTGATTTCTAAATGAACATTTATAACATTTGTATGTTTTTCCTGCACCTTTATGCTTTACCCTGTAAGATTAAGAAAAGATTTAAGATTAAGATTAAATTTTATTGATCCCCGCAAGGGGAAATTTCATTTTTTTCACTCTGTAGTCATGCAACACACACATAGGCTGAAATATACACATAAACATGCACAAACAGGATCCTATGGACATGCACTAATAGAGAGATGTCAGAGTGACGGAGCTGCCCACAGGAGGCGCTTCTGAGCTGGTGGTGGGGAGGGGGTTTGGTGCCTTGCTCAAGGGCACCTTGGCAGTGCTCAGGGGGCGATCTGGCACCTCTCCAGCTACCAGACCAACTTCCATATTTGGTCCGCACCGGGACTTGAAACTCCGGTTCCCAACCCAAGTCCCTACAGACTGAGCTACTGCCGAGCTACTGTATGCAAGAGTTGTATCTTTTTTTAAAACATTTGTAATTGATTTAAGTGTAACTTTCTGTCAGATCTTCT